TAAGGAAACTCATTTCGGCAGCTCTGCAGAGCTGGGTGGGAATACAGAAAGAACAAGAGCAGGGAGTCCTGTTAGGAGATATTAGATGTTAGGAGTCTAAGAGATGGTGAGGGCTAAAACTAAAGTAGTGGTTGTTTTGAATATTAAGAGAGGGACAGATGAGAGAACTGTTGTAAAGGTAAAGAAAGCAAGATTTGGCTATTGATTGGATATGTGGAGTGAGGGAGATTGAGGGATAGAGGATGGTGTTGACATTACTAACGTGGAAGGATGGTTGTGCCCTTGACAGAAATAGGGAAATTCATTAGAGAGGTGGGTTTTGGCAGAGGAGAAGGGGGAATGAGTTAACATTGGACATACTAAATTTGAGATACTTATATCTATCTCTTTGGAATTTCTAATAGATAGTTGATGCTACAGAACTCTCTTTACATATTCCCTTCTGCTCTTGAGTCCTTGATAGCCTTCTTATAATGAAAAGGGCCAGGATACTGCACAGAAGTAGGAGTAGGAAAAATTTGAGTATATATTGTGAGATATTCAGCTCCAAAAAGGGTCCCCAAAAACCTTTACATTAAGAACTAGGAGCTTTTTTGGAATGTGAATTTTGATGACAATAAGGTTGGGGTTCCAAAAGCTTAAGAGCAGATGAGATGCTTCAGTACTGGCCAGTAGTATTTCATATGATAATTTTTCTTACTGGGGAGAAAAATACCAATACAATTAGTGGAATGTTACAGTAAAGGAAGTTAGATATAACAACTTTAAATGATTAGGGAGAAACTTATACCAGGGCTTTCCAAAAATCAGCTGAAGCTTTCTGAAAATTTTTAAAATTTAACTCTGTCTACTTGCCAAAAGCACTTTGAAACCTAGAATCTACCCAAAGTGTCATGTAGAGTAACATTTCTTATAGTTTGTTCTGTCTCCCTCAGTTTTTTTTAGCTTAAAAACCCTAACTATATGATACTAAGAAATCATGATTTTTGCCTTCTATATGATTTAAAACTGTTACACAAGGCTGAATGGAATAAGCATTTATTAAGTACCTACTATGTGCTAGGCATTATACTAAGAACTTTACAAATATTATCTCACAACAACTCTGTGAGGCAGGTGTATTTTTCCTATTTTATAGATGAAGAAACTGGAGCAAACATAGGTTAAGTGATTTGCTCAGAGTCATAGTGCTAGTAAGTATCTGAGGCTGGGTTTGAACTTGGGTCTTCTGGACTCCAGGCCCAGCCCCATATCCACTGCACCACCTAGTGGCCTCTAAGCAGTTCAACAAAACCAGCCCAATATATCAACAGAGCCTGACAATATATTCAGTGTTCCATACCTATCTGTAGTACCCCAACTCTATAAAGAAAGGTGGAAATTACATTTTCTTCCCTTCTGGGAGCCTAGCATAATCTTTATAATTATACAGTATATAATTATACAGTTTGAGTTTTTTTGTTTCTATTTACATTGTTATAGTTATTTTTATATATATCATCTCATATATATTGTTTTCTTGATCTGCTTACTTCACTTTGCATCAGTTCATATGTCTTCTCATGCTTCTTTGCAGTCATACTCATTATTAAAAACATAATCCGTTACATTTACATACCAGGATTCATTTAGCCATTACCCAGTGGATGAACATCTACTTTGTTCCTATTTCTTTGCTACTATAAAAAAAAAAAGTGCTGCTAGAAATACTTTGACAGCTATGGCATCTTTCTGTATTGGATGTCCTTGAGATAAATGTTTAGAAATGGGGTCTTTGAGTCAAAAGAATCTTTTTTAAAGTAGAATAGCAGACTGCTTTCCAGGATTATTGGGTCACTTCATTGTTTTCTAAAATTAGAAACATGCAACTTAACTAAAGAAGTTCCTCAGATCAATTGAGCAGATATTTATTAAGCATAAGCTATGTGTAGAGATGGCATTGTGTTTCCTGCCTTTCAAGAGTATCAATGTTGCAGTTAAATCAGGACTCTTCTAATTGGTTCCGGTTTGCTTCCTTTGTGTCTCAGCTGGGTTTGGGGCTGCACCTTTTCTCCATCCTCTCCTCTCCTCTTCCTTCATTCTCTCCTCACACCCAACCCCCGCCCCTCACACACATACACCTCCATCATCCATTCAGCAAACTTCTTTGGATACCTGATGTACCTGGGTAGTCTGGGACAGACCTGCCTTCTTTCAGCTTCCCAGACTCATTTTATCTGGTCTTCTCTGGGGCAGGTTGCATGACCAGATGGTAAAGATCAACCAGAGCTTGCACCGGCTGCAGGTTGCCTGGCGTGAGGCTCAACAAAGCGCCAGCCCCACCGCGGACAGCCTTCGAGAGCAGTTTGAGCGCCTGATGACAATCTATCTCTCCACCAAGACTGCCATGACTGAGCCGCAGATGCTACAAAACTGCCTCAATTTGCAGGTGTCCATGGCTGTTCTTCTGGTTCAGCTAGCCATTGGCAACCAAGGCACAGAGCCAGTAGAGCTGACCTTCCCTTTGTCAGATCAGTACAGCTCTTTGGCTTATGTGCCAGGTAAGCTGGTCCTTCCTTGGGAGCTTCCTGTTTATAACTGACAGATCTGAACTGAGTCACCCCAAAAGTTTAAGCGTCAGATTAACTTCCTTCAGTGTTATTTTCAATCCTTTTCAGAAAAGTACCTTTTATATACGGTTATCTAGTGGTAGAAATGCGGAGAAATCTCCTGGTATGCAAGTCAGAAAACATTCTGCTAAGGGTTAATAGAATTTCCAAAGCAATCAGTTTAATTTAGATGCCAGTATTCTTTCACAAACTTGTACCTATGTAAGGACTTCCTCAATGATATAGTTTTTATATTGCTGACTTTATATAGGATAAGCCAGTGATACTTTTTCTGATGTAAAGTAAATATCTTCAATCTTGTGGCTAGATTTAAATTTTGTAATCTATAGAAATATCACCCATAGAGGCAGCTAGGTGGAGTCTTTAACAAGCGGGAGATATTCAGAATTACTCCCAGTAAAGATAGAGCATCACCCCTGGAGTCAGGAGGACCCGAGTTCAAATGCGACCTCAGGCACATAACACTCACTAGCTGTGTGACTCTGGACAAGTCACTTAACCCCAATTGACTCACCAAAAAAAAAAAAGAAAGAAAGAAAGAAATATTACCTGTAGTCTTCCTCAGAAATAGGATATTCTTTATTCATTTATTCAACAATTCAGTGCCAACTTCACTAATCAATTAAGTGCCTCCCTTTGTGAAATGTACCATACTAAGTGCTGGAGGATGTACAAAAATAAGGTGATCCCTACCCTTAAGGAATTACTGTATAGTAGTTATGACCAAACAAGTATATAATACAAATTAGAATGTTTATGTGTAATTGGAGCACAAAGTCCTATAAAGACAGATGAGAGAAAGATTACTTTCATCTGTTGGAGATCACAGAAAGCTTTATGGAAGGGGTGCTGTTTGATCTCTGCCTTGAAGGGTGGGTAGGATGTTAACAGGCAGAGGTAAGAGGAAAGGACATTCCAGGTATAGGGGAGAGAATGAGCAAAGGTAGGAAAGTACAAGACTTTAAGGAGATGACTATCATTAAGGGGATAACTATTAATCCAGTTAGGCTACAGCAAATAGCGTGTGAGGAAGAGGAATATGAGATGTCTAAAAAGCTACACCCAGAAATGTTGTTGTTCTTGTTGTATGTATCATGAGGAATGTCATCAGAAATCAGGATATAAGTATTTTACCACCTAATAGTTTAATTATACAGATTAGAAACTCCTCAAACATCCATGTAAGTATTTGTGGGGGGGGCAATTGGGGTTAAGTGACTTGCCCAGGATCACACAGCTAGTAAGTGTTATGTGTCTGAGGCTGGATTTGAACTCAGGTCCTCCCAACTCCAGGGGTGATGCTCTATCCACTGTGCCACCTAGCTGCCCTCCTATAAGTATTTTTTAAAACCAGCAGTTAACCTTGGGAGCCAGAGGAAACACTAGCATAGTATGTCACTTTGCTAAACTCTGTAATTATTGCTTTGGTGTGCTCAGACCCCTATGTGGACAGATGGAAATTGACTTAGTAAACATAGAGAATTCCTCACCCAGCCCTGTACCTTGACTGGAATTGACCTTTCCCAAATCAACTGAAAGTCTCTGTAATTTTCGCTCTACCATAAATGTCTGGAGTAAAGGATAATTTAAATGTTGCTGAGTAGGAGAGAGGATCGAACATTGGCCCAGGTTCCTAACCCATCAAGAAAGACAAGCAAACATTTACATTTGCAGAATTTTTTGCGGATAACCTGGGAGATTTTCTTATTTTCCTACGGCGCTTTGCTGACGACATCCTGGAGACATCAGCTGATTCACTGGAGCAAGTTCTTCATTTTGTCACTATTTTCACTGGGAGTGTAGAGAGGTAATGTGCCAACCACTTGACTTTTGTCACTGTATAGAGCTACAGAATATCCAGAGTGCTTTCAAACCAAGAATAAACAAGCTTAAATCCTAAGGGGATGCCTTGAGCACTTAGGTTAACATTAATGACTCACCTGACCTTCCTTGGGGGGCGGATGGGCACTAAGAATTCCACACGTGAAAGACATAATAAGCAAAGGATTTTGTCCCCAAAGAGTTTGGGCTGCCCAGGAGGTTCAGATGAGGTTTCAGCTGTTAATCCCTTGTTAAAACAGAAACACCATCACGTCAAACCCCAACCAGTTACAGCTAATGACTTGTTAAGTAACTGCAAACAATAATAATAGCAACAGTAAAGCTTAGTCTTGCAGTCCTAGATTTGGAGTCTGGATACAAATTCTGCCTTACTAGTTCTAATTATGTGCAAGTCATTAACCCCTCAGGCCTTCAGTTTCCTCTCTTGTAAAGTAGTGATAATAGCAACACTTGTACCTACCTGCCTCACATAAGGGTTGTGAAGAAAGTGCTTTGCAACCTTCAAGTGATATATAAATGTGAGAAGTTATTGTTGTTAGAGCTGTGTGCTGTACTGTCTATGGTCTATCCCAGTCTTCCTCTTCACAGATTTTCTAACCATCTTCTCTAAAAGGCAGTATGTAAAGCAGACTACTTGCTATCTGATTTAAGTATAATAGGAGATAGGCCCTGTCTGTATATTCACATGAACGTAGGTGTGCTCAAAGTGTTGGGGGGAAGGAGGGGAGGAGGGCGAGGTGGAGATGGGCTTCCATTTTCCTAATTTTTTTAAATGGAAACCAGAAGTCATTGCCTAGATTTCATAGAACTGAGTGGACTTAATGAGAAATCATCAGTCACTAAGCACTGGTTAAGTACTTACTATGTGCTAGGCACTTAGGTTGATATAGATGATGTATAAGTCATCGTCTTGACCTTCGTGAAACTTAAAATACAGTCAGGATGCAAAGAACTGTAAGTGCTAAATTATGTGATAGGGTCTAGAAACTCCATGTTGAGTCTAGGGTAAAATACAAACTCCTCAGCTTGGCATTTGAATTCCTCCACAATCTTGCATTGGCCTATCTTTGCAGACTTGCATTCTACATTCCAGCCTAACTGGCCTGCCTACTTACTGTTCCCCAGACTCAGCATTCCATCTCCCACCTGTACTTTTCCAGTCTGGCCCCCATGTCTAGAATGGACTCCTCATCTCCACTTCTTCGAATCCTTAGCTTTCTTCAAAGCTCAGCCAGGGCAACCTCCTTCCTAAAGCTGTTCCTAATATCCCTAGTTGCTGGTGCTCTGTCTCCTCAAAATATCTCATATTTACTTACCTGTTTTACATATTGTGTTATCGTGGAAACTTCCTGAGGACAAGAATTGTTGTTTTTGTGTTCCTAGTGCCTAGCCCATAGCAAGAGGCACTGAATAAATGTTTGTGGAATTGAATCAAAGAGAGAGATCAGCAGTTAAAGTTCTGTATTGTATAGAATTGTGACACTGAGAGGGACCTCCAGCCTTCAGATAGGCACCACATGAGATGTCTTCTCAGGAATCATGTTTTGCCCAGCATTGCCCCAGAAACTGATCAGTCTGAAGCTGCATAGACATGCCTTGTGAGTAAAACTGCAGTTAGAGAGGAATGTGGATGGTACATCACTATCCTAATCAGTCTAAATGTTGAAATAACAGAATGTCACCAATTTGGCAGCCAGTTCTCCCCATCCTTGTTATCCTGTCTCCTAAACACACTGCAGAATGAAAAACCCCCACCTGAGGGCCAAACTGGCAGAGGTGCTGGAGGCAGTCATGCCACACCTGGACCAAGCCCCAAATCCCCTGGTGTCCAGCGTGTTCCACCGTAAGCGTGTGTTCTGCAGCTATCCCTACGCAGCCCAGCTTGCTGAGGCACTCATCAAAGTCTTTGTAGACATCGAGTTTACAGGTAAGCAGCTGTGAATGACCCCTAGCAATGGGACACTGACAGCCAGGCAAATCTTTTGTGGAGGAGAAAGGAGTACTGGGGTACCAGATCTGATCAAATCAGAGTCAGTTAGACTATCTAATTAGTGCACACACACCCTTCTTTTCCCTTATCTGGATAAAATTGCAAAACAACAGAAGTAAAGACAACTTATTAACTGAGGATCTTCCATCTCAACCAGCCTATCTGCCTGTTGGGCTTCAAGTGCTATCACAGCATTACAGCTTACTGACTACAACCCTTAGTTGGAGTCAGATTGTATGCCAGTGGTAACTCATTCAAATAGTGGCATGTCTCCAGTTGTCATTTAAGCCCTGTTACAAGGGAGCTCCTTCTCAGCAGTGATAGCACTACTGTGTCAAAGGTATCATGAGCATCAGATGATCCATTCCTGAGGCTAGGATGCAGTGTCATGTTCTGACTTCCTGTCTTTCAGTGTTATCAGGAACCAGTTGGTCTAACAGTTGGGAGATGGAGTTCCAAGAATGTGGGGACTGAATTGAGCTCGATATAGATGCTAAATTTGGGGAAAGCTAGAAGTACACCACCCACCCACCCCTACCCCATAGTAGATGACCATAATAAGTTAAAATTCTGAAGTCACAGTCTACTACCACATCTCCAGTCCAAGGAGAAATATGTCTGGAAATGTATCTGCAATGGTACTTCACTTCCTCCATTGCTGTTCCTATGGTACCTCCACAACAAAGCTCAATGAGTGCCCTGTATTTGGATTTGGTAGTGTTTATTTTCTTGGTTTTTGTTTTGCAGCTTGGCTGTTGTTCAGGCACCTGTTATGATAAAGATTCCTTGCTGAGCAAGGTACCCTGTACATCCACTGCCTGAGCTATCATAAGGAAATGAGCACACATCCCACCCTTGCTCTGGGCAGATGGTAACTCTGAAAGCAGAGACCACTAGGAGCCTTGGCAACTTTGGAATGAAAAGGGATTCCTACTCCCCATCTCACTCTCCCCAACACTGTACTTGATTATCCTTTGTTCTATTGCCTTTCTCTAGGAGACCCCCATCAGTTTGAGCAAAAGTTTAACTACCGCCGCCCCATGTATCCTATCTTAAAGTACATGTGGGAAACAGACACCTACAGAGAAAGCATAAAGGTAAGATAGTTAATGGTGAAATCAGTGTCCTTACATTAAAAAAAACCCCAAGAGACTGTAGTTTCATGCTAACATGTCTTTCCCTTGGGATGGGGTTTGCAGGCTCTAGCTGATTATGCCTCTGAAAATTTGGAGGCCATGAATCCTCCTCTCTTTCTCCGCTTCCTTAACCTGCTGATGAATGATGCTATCTTCCTACTGGATGAAGCCATACAGGTAAGAAGGTGGCCTGACAGTCTCTATATTATCAAATCATAAATTCATACCTTCTAATCAAAATAGAGCAACTTCATGTTTCTTTAATAAAAGCAGGATCAATTTCTCACACTGAGCTTGAGAGTATACAAATGGAACCAGATAATGTTGTCACACCTGATTGAGGTCACATACAACCTACCAAGTAGTTTCTCTCTTGTTGGCCAAGATCAAGGGGCATTGAAGCCAACTGGGTAAGGGTGAGCTGCCTCGGCAAAGAGATTGAAAGATAGCCATGTTGAATCCAGACAAAGGGATATTGGTAGAATTAACTCATGGAGCCAGATCTGCAAAATGAAAGAGCTTGGCTTAGGGTAGTTTTTTGTATGGGGATTCCCAAACTCAATATTCTTCATCTCCCAAATCTTGAGTGATCATGACAGGGTAGATTCATATAACATTGTTGTTGGAAAGTTATATTTTTAGGTTTTATAAAATATAAAACATAGTTTGGTGTCTTTCAGCCCCTTGGGTGTGATTAACCATGCCTAATGGAACTGCTTATTGTTACTATAAAAAGCAGCCTTCATCCACTGAGCAAAACTCCCTTCCCCACGATGGGAGCAAGGGAAGACAGTTTCCCAGAGGGAAGGTAATCGGTTAAACCTTAGGGACATTCTGTTGGGTTCAAGTTGACCCCTTTGTTAATTAGCCACACCCACAGCTACTTATATGGAAACACCAAAGATTTTGTCTTGTGTTACTTTTCTCAAGCTGGTATTTTCAGATGAGGTTCTTTATAAACTTGAGAGTAAGGGAATAGGCCATGTTATGTACAGATCTTTCTCCCAGCAAGAGCCATTATGACACAAAGGCAAAACAGATGGTATCTGCATGCAGCTGTTTGTCATAGTGTTTTCTACAAGAATATGAACAGAAACAGGCTTCCAAATAAGTGTATGGTCCTTCTTACAACTTGATAGTTTTCTTGATGACAGGAAGCATCTTGATTTCATTTGATTGTGGAAAAATCAACAGATCTGGACTCAGAGGACCATGGTTTAAATCTTGACCTTGGGCAAGTCAGCCTCCCTTTTTAGTGTCAGTTTCCTCAACTGTAAAATGTGGGGATTGAAATAGATGGTCTTTAACATCCCTTACAGCTCTAAATCTATGATCTCTGATTCCTCATACCTGCCCAGTTGGCCTAAGTATTTCATTTTCACCTCATACACAGTCTTATAGAAATTTAGAGTTTAGAGGACCTTCCTGGTCTTCTTGTCCAAACCGTATCTGAACTCTCTACTGTTATACTTGCCTGATAAGTAGTCATCCAGCCCCCTTATGTACACCCCCAATGGCGGAAAAACTTGCTGTCTGTAAAATGAGGATAATAATAGCATCTACCCTCCCAGGATTGTTGTAAGAATACATTGAGGTGATAATTATAAAATGCTTAGCACTGTGCCCGGCCCATAGTAAACAACTACATAAATGTTAGCTGTTATCATCATTATTATTATCATCTCCCAAAGTAGTCCTGAAGTTTCAACAACTCTAGTTAGGAAACCTTTCCTTACATAGAGCCAAAATCTGTATCACTTCAACTTCTTCCTATTACTGAAGCCCCATAAAAGGTATAAAGGGTGTCCCAAAAGTCTTAGTGCAGTTTTTAGCTTAAAGACACCCTCTAGAGTGACATTTTTCTTATATTGTCTTGGAAAATCTCATCTACATTGACTTATACTGTTTGCTTTTTTTTTTTCAATTCAGTTTCATTTTAAGCAGATTCTTGAAGTATTTTTCCTTACTTGACTATCTTCCTTTCTTACCTAGCAAACTGCCATGTGCAAAATAATCCTTTAGTGTCTGTTGAACTAAAGAAATTTAAATGAAGAATCTTGATTCATCCCACTAATTGTTTTCACTTTCTTTAGTACTTGAGCAAGATAAAGATTCAGCAGATTGAGAGGGACCAAGGTGAATGGGACAATTTGTCTCCCGAGGCCCGCCGAGAAAAGGAGGCCAGTCTGCAAATGTTTGGGCAGCTGGCTCGATTCCACAACATCATGTCTAATGAAACCATCGGTACCTTGGCCTTTCTAACATCAGGTAAGAACAGGAAGATCTGTGTATCTAAAAATGAGTGGTGGCAGCACTGAACTTTGCTGGGGGGACCTAGACAGCTGACCCTAGAAGTCTGATTGGCAGCATCTTTGATTCTAAGATTAGGCATTGGGTCATTGAAGAACATTCATATCAGGCTTGTTGGGCAAATGATTTGATCAAGCTTTATTTAATTGAAGATCTGTTTTCACTTTATTGGGTTTTTGTGCAATTGGCTTTGCATATAAAGACCTTGAGCTCTCCTGTGGGTAGAATAAATACACAAATCCCTAAGGAATTCCATATGGAATATGAAATCCATCTTCTCCATTGTAACCTCATCTCTATGGAGAAATAGATACTTTACTTGCCCTGCCCATGGGTAGTAAAGAATTGCTAATAGTTTGATTTCTTAGGATGCCATCCATTTACATTTCAGAAATCAAGTCCCTCTTTGTACACCCCTTCCTGGCTGAACGAATCATCTCTATGCTAAACTACTTCCTACAGCACTTGGTTGGTCCTAAGATGGGAGCCTTAAAAGTCAAGGACTTCAGCGAGTTTGACTTCAAACCCCAGCAGCTTGTTTCAGACATCTGCAACATCTACTTAAACCTTGGGTACATGAAAGTGGATCTTTTCAGATCAGAGAGAAGGCTGATATGATTTTTTACAATGTAATCATGGTTGTGGGGTGGCAGAGTGGTCATTTTGTAGAGATGTGACTGAAATGATGGAGTTCTAATTTCTTCAAAAGCATGTTTTCAGAATTTAAACTCTGCCCTAACGAGATTTAGTATGATGCCCACCATATGTAGAGATAAATTTGAGAGGTCCTGGATTGAAAAGAAAAATAAATGTCATTTTTAAGCCTGTAAGGAAAAACTCACTAGGCTTTTCATCCAAAATGTTGCATGCAATTTTCCTATATCAAATGTAGAATCATGGCTTACAGGTGATAGGAGACCTTTTCTGAACTGCAGCACACATCTCCTTTGTTTGACATATTCTCTTCCACATTGTTTCTCTCTTATGCCGGCCATCCAGTGATGAGGAGAATTTCTGTGCCACTGTGCCCAAGGATGGGCGATCTTATTCCCCAATGCTGTTTGCTCAGACGGTCCGAGTCCTGAAGAAAATAAACAAGCCTGGAAATATGATTGTGGCTTTCAGCAATCTGGCAGAGAAGATCAAGGTAAGCCAAGGAAACACCACTGTGTAGCTGCTTATATCCTGTGCTAAAACCAGCCTGCCACTTCCACTACTTGGCATCTCCCAAAAAAGTTGCTTTGAGGAAGTATAAAGTAGGTGTATAAAAAGAGCTTTATCATAATCAGTGATTTCATGTACCCTCTTCCTATTTCGTTTGTTTGACGTGCCCAAGTAAAAACTTCATTGGTTTTAAGACCCTACTATAGGAAGAGAAGAATGTAAAAATACACTCATTTTTCCTCCCAGGGATGGTTTGTGGGGGGAAGGGTAGAAGGTGGCTCAAGGAGGCCTCGAAAAAGAACGATTGAGATGGAACTCCCCCACCCAGGTGTGTTTTGCTGCTATTAATTCTTTCCCTATAGATCTAGTTAATTCTCTTGGCTGATTTACATTGTTATATTTCTGCATTATTTAAAGCTAAAATAGTTCACTGTTCACATAGAGCAAGGCTCCATTAGCAATTATCCTGTTTCATAGAAGGTAAAACTGAAATAGAAATGATTAAGGAGTATGAACCTGTGCAATGAAGAAACTGGAACCCAACTATCCTCATATCCAAACTGGATAGCATTACCTTTTTAGAGACATCCTTCCTTTTCCTTGATTGAACTACTTATTCAGTGAGTGAAGCTCTCTTTCTGCTTAGAACCTGAACAATTTACTGGGATGATACAGAAATCAAATGATGGTAAAGCAAGATTTAAACTCAGGTGACAGTTAAGTGCCTTGCTTATGATGGTTGACCACTGACAGCTATATTTCCATATGTAAAATTTGATTGCTCTCGTGGTTTCTCCACCCAAAACCAGAAATAGCTTTTCATATTCATATTCAGCCTACATGGGAGATTCTGTAACTATGCAAATGACAACCTTATCTGAATTCTGGCATTTAGAACAGGTAGAGGAAAAGAAAACGTTCTTTTCGATTTTGTTTGGCCTTTTCATAACAACATTTCCAGCTCACAGGCAGCCAAAATGAATTTTGGTTTGGGGGCAAAATTGGTCATCTTACTTGTGTCTGCTCAGATGTTCATGATACCCTCTTAGTGAAAAAATAAACCTTAAACTCACTTGTTAGTGCTAAAAGTAGTTCATGAGTTGAGTGTTCAGGCATAGCCATTGAGCTGTCCATAATGAATGGCTTTGGAAATCCAGCACTAACCACATGGTTTATTGCTTTCAGTCACTTGCAGATCTCCAGCAACAGGAGGAAGAGACCTATGCAGATGCCTGTGATGAGTTTCTAGATCCCATCATGAGCACACTGATGTCAGACCCCGTGATGCTGCCATCTTCCAGAGTCACTGTGGATAGGTCCACAATAGCCAGGCATCTGCTCAGGTATTCACATTCTAGAATCAAACAAACCTTGAGAGCAGAAACCATGTATTTTATTTCATTGGCATGATTCCTTTCCCTAAATACTGAGTATAGAGTTATGATTTTAGCGAATACTCTCTATATTTATTAGCTAATTGATCTCTCTGGGTGAGTAAGAGAAATTTAATACCTGAACTAGGCATCCCATTAGAAATGTTTACTCATACCTTATCACTTCCTTTCTTGAGAAAATCAACAAATAGCATACATTGTAAAATATATAAATTTGAATTTTTCTTCATAAAAATTTAGTTTTCAATCTGTACTCACCATACAGGTTAACCCTTGTCCTGATGCTACAGTTGTACTTGGCAGTTGTACTTTATATACAGAGTATATAAAAGCTTTCCCTAGCCTATGACTTAAGCAGCTACCATTGGATACCACCAGCTAGGGCAATGGTAACATCTACTACTACTTATAAGTAGTTACTTAAGAATCCTGACCATTGCTGTTTTTAGCAGCAATAGCAGGCAGAATTAGGATGAAAGGATCCTTGCCCTTACGAGTTGGTCTGAATTTGGTGGAAAGTATTTTTTAACCTTAAAAAAATAATATATATAAAGGTTGGTTCAATGGAGAGTAGGGGGAAGTCACTGGGAGGTGATAAGGTTATAAAAACAAAGAAATAAACGTCGGTAAAATTATTTTTAAAGGCAGTCATCAAGGCAATATGAAGTCAGGAAGACCTGAGTTCACATTTAAGTTACACATCTAACACATACATAGACTAAGACTGTGAGCAAGTCACTCAACTTCTCTCTGAGACTGTAAGGTGCAGGATAGTGATTGATTTGCATTTAGTAGAGAGCATTTCCTCACAAGGAGTTTTCTAAACCAATGATACCATAGGTCTGGACCTATGAAAAAAGAAAGCCACACTATGACTGGTGATATTGGGTACATGACACTGTATTAGGTAGTATTTTTTCCCATTTTTGTAAGAATTTTCATATTATGACAGACTTGATATGCAGGGAGAACACTTAGCATCCCACAAAATTTATCATAAGCCTTCCCTTCTCTTAGAAAATCCTACTCTCTAGTTGGCCAACATAACTCAGTAATATTGTGGATCAAGTAGATATTTACAAGGTCTCTCTCCATTTTAGGATCGTTAACTCACATGGCAACTCAGTCATAAACTTTTAAGACCTCATCAAACTGAAACCACTGACAGCTCCATATAGATAGTTTAAATATAGGTGCCTCTAATAGTTGGATACAACTGAAAAACAACTAACAACAACAAAAAGTCTCAGGAGACCTGAAGTTTGAATGCTGAAAGATGGGATTTAAAGCTTCTGTTATCAATTAAGTATTACCTGGGCAATAACATTTGGGAAGAGGGAATGGAAGCCAAAGGGAAAGAAGCATTTATATAACACCTACTATGTGCCAGGCACTGTGCGAAGTGCTTTATAAATACTATCTCATTTGACCCTCACAACAACCCTGGGAGGTAGGCACTATTACTATCTCCATTTTACAATTTAGGAAACTGAGGCAAACAGGTTAAATGACTTGCCCAGTGTCACACAGCTAGTGTCTGAATACAGATTTGAACTTAGGTCTTCCAGACTCAAGTCCAGTACTTTATCCACTGCACTACCGTTTGAGTATATTTTTTCGGAGGCTAAGGGAAGAAAGCTAATTTATACCAGAAGGCTCCTCTGGAGGTTCCTTCTAAGCAGCTGGGTGATACAGTGGAGAGTACTGGACCTGGAGTCATGGTGACCTGAGTTCAAATTTGGTCTCAGACATTTACTACCTGTGTGTCTCGGCAAGTCAACTAACCTACGTGTGCCTTAGTTTCCTCATCTTTAAAATATAAATAGCACCCACTCCCGTGGTTGTTGTGAAAATAAAATGAGTTATTTGTTAAAGGTTTTACAAACTTTAAAACACTATATAAATGCTAGCTATTTTAGAGCAAAAGGTTATTTTTCTTGTGTCATGGACCTTTTGGAACTCTAATGAAACCTGTGGACCCCTTCTCAAAAGAATATTTTTAAATGTATGAAATAAAGATATAATTTTTCTCCCATCCAAGTTCATGGACCCAATGAAATTCATGGACCCTGTGTCAAGGACCCCTGATCTACACGCTCGAATTTTCTTAATCTCAGCCCCTTCCAAACACAGTATGAGCATTTCAGAGAGTAGGTTGACTTGTACTCTCAAAGTCACACAGTCACTGATACTGCTTAATAAAAAGTGAGGGTCTGTCTAACATTACTTGCCTCAGTGACCTGTAGTGTTAGACATTGTTACAGTAAATTTCTCTCTCTTCCTTCTCTTTCTCCCAGTGATCAGACTGATCCCTTTAATCGTAGCCCCCTAACTATGGACCAGATCCGGCCAAACACAGAACTGAAAGAGAAAATTCAACAGTGGCTCGCTGAGAGGAAATTACAGAAGGAACAACTTGAGTAAATACTGTGAATTTAACAAACCAAAAGCCAACCCCAAGAATGTGGATAAATAACAGTTTGTTGGTCTCTCTGTATCCCCTTCCTCTCCCCCCAAACCCCTTTCTCTCACCCCCATTTACCCTCCTCTTTTTTTCTCTCTCATTCCCCACCCTTCCCTTTCCCTCTTCCTCTCCCTCACCAACTCCCAATCTCTTTTCCTTCTCTCGCTTCCCTTTCTTTCTTCCTTTCCCTCAAATGGAGAATTGCTGTTGCACAGATAATGGTAGTTATGACTCTAAGAACTTTCAAATCTGTGTTTCCCTGGCTTGCTGATAATTATGCTTTATGTGACATCACCAAGTTTAGAAAGTCTCCAACTTTCACCTTTTTGTTTCCTCTTCCTCTTTTTTTCCCCTTCAATTTAGACTAATGGTATCAGCTTTACTAAAGCTTCCTAGTGGTCTCAATGTGGGAGAGGCTAATTCCTTATTGCATTTCTCTTAAGTACTGGCTACTTACCATGTAAATTGCTCATTATTTTTGATATTAAGGACTTGATGTCACATATTTCAGTGGCAATTGGCATAACCAAAAAAAAAATTCTGGCCAGGGCCCTATCAGATTCCATAAGCTGGACTTCAGCCTTTCTCCTTGTTACAGTTCTGTGATGTTATTGATACTTTTGTTAGATAATAACAAAATTTAATGTGAATAAAATGCCTTGATGTTTGCATAGGCTTTTTAAAAGGTGATGCACAAGATAGAAAGAGGTTATCTTATGCAATTTCTGTTAGAAGCCATGAGTGGTGTAGTCTTGGTGTCTGTTATTTTGGAATGGTGCCCAGGGATACCATCTTATCTAAACACTCCCCTGTGGGGAGCCCTTTCCAGTTATAAGATTTAACACTATGATATTTTTATGAAGATGAGTGGGACATAGCAGCAGCTTTGACACTTCTTGTCTGTATATCCTGGGGTAAGGGCATAGCAGTATCTATTTAGAGGAAGGCATATGCCTATTGATTCCTCTTACATCTGCAAAAAACAACCCCCAAACTGCAGGGACTAAAATTAAGTTGGAGAAAGTGTGACAAGTTGTATTATGAATAGGGTCCTTCCTATCTCTATCATTTGAAATCACTAATATCTAGCCAACAGCTGTCTTGGTGAACACAGAATCTGTATCTCAGTATACATATTAAGTGCAGTATAAACTACACCAGTTTATATTGTGCCTTTTGCATGATTATATGTGTGCAATGTAGTGTATAGACACATTTGCTGACACTTTCATCCTATCTAAGAGTCTTAGATTGCAAAGTACGTATATTAATGTATATTTGGGCCTGTGTCCAGAGGATCTGATAGAGCCGCTCTCAGCCCAGCTCTGGATTCTCACTTAACAAAGAAGTAACTTGAGAAAAACCTTGGCCACATACGTTTTGCGTATTTGCCAGTGAGTTTCAGTCCTATCCTCTTTAGGATGGATGGACTGTGATGGGTAAGCAGGCCACACTTGTTGAGTTTTATAAGCTAAGTTCTCCATTCATGTGCTAGAAAAGGCATCAATGTGTTTAAAACCTTTCCTTCCCTCAAGGACTTTTTTTTTATATGTATTATACCTGTAAACCTAGAAATTCCATAACTGAAAATTAATTTAACATTTTTAAATGTTTCTTTTATAGGAAGTAGGGAATGTTGGTCCTTGGTTTAACGTACATTAGAATGAGTTGTGACCTCTTTAAAATAAGTTGGTATAGGTCTCTGGACAAACGTCCATTGAAAGTAGTTCTAATAGGTTATCACTGTCTTAGTATTTGTCTTAAATGGAAAACCACAAATCAGATGGGCCAGAGAGGGTGTTCTAGATTGTGTGAGGTGGCTACCAGATGCTGTGTTGGTTATACGTGATCTAGGAACCCAGAATTCTTTCAACATTGTCACGGTATGTCTGAGTTGCTCCCAGATTTGTTTGTTACCTTGTAATGTGCTTCACTTCAAATCCATTACCCTGTAAGCATTCTGAGAATGAATTGTATATGATATCAAGCCATCTAGCAACTTATATGTCTCTTACACATACACTTAGAATGTAAAGAAAACAAAGACCAGAGGTTTACAGGGAAAACTGATGCATAAAGGTGAGCAATGAAACCTCAAAAGTCAGCTGTCCCTATCAGCTTTCTAGATAATTTCTGCTGCCTCTAGTATATGTGTCCACTGTGTTTCTTTCTCTGTGTGGCCTTTAGATTGTAAGCCTTTTTTGATAGGCTACTTAAAATCTACTTTCTTGAAAATCTACATGTATGGCTGAAGCACTATATAAGTGATAGTGCCTAACACTTGCTGCTGAATTTCTTTAAATTAACATCACAATCCAACAAAATGGAAGAAGTATGTCATTTAAGGCTACCCATTGGTGGTGAAGCCATTGATCCCTGTGCCTTTCTTTCTCACAGTAAGTGGAATTAAGGGCACCTATAAAATATTTTCAAATGACCCTCTTCATATAGGCATGGGTGTTAATGAAGCTCAAGAAGATGATTTCATTTCCTGCAAACTCTGAAGCAACTCTTTAATTTTATATTTTGAAGGGTCTTAAAAAAGGTTTCTTAAAGCATTGGAATATTTGATGAGAAAACAAAGACTAATCAGTTCCAACACTGCTCATAACTTTGCACAAGTGATACTAAAATTGAATATTTAGTAGGTTATATCAAGTGGTACTAGTTTTTTTAAATACAGTTCTTAACGTGTGTATGAAATTGAAGGAACATTTCCATCTCTGCAGCTGGCAGCTGTAACTTTTTTTAATATTGAAAGGTGTCAAACTGTACCAAGGCTGTTTGTCTTTATCTGATCTGGTTGCTGAGTAGTCATTACAGAAGGCATGAGCTCCTCAGGTGCTTTTGCAAGCCTGAGGCTGGCACCGCACTGTGTTGCAGAATCACGTGAGGAAATCATCCACAGGCCCTGGCAAATAAATGGGAAAAGAATCGGGGGAAGAAAAGTTGAGAACTAAGAGAAGTTTTGCCATTAAAATAACATTTAGTCATCAAAACTATGTGGAAAGGTTCCCTGAAGGTTACAGCTTGTCAACCTTTGCCTGGGGTGTTTGCGCAGAACTTGTATTTAATAAATACCTGCCTAGAGCCACGGTCACCACTTCCTCTCTCTCTCTCTTTCTCAGTCTTCTGTACTAGGGGTGGATCCGGGCACATGGTGTGGCACAAGCCCAGGCCGGGCGGCCCGCCAGCCGGGCTCTGGGGAGAGAGGGGGCAGGGGGCGAGGCCACACAGTGGTGACCAGACGGGGACGGGCACAAGAATCCTGGTGTCGGGGGCGGGTGTTTACGAGCCGAGGCTCCGGACGGCAGCCATGACGCCGGGCGCTGGCGCCCCACGGCCCTCCGACAGATGCTTTCGTCCTACCATGCCGGTTTAGAAATCCGGTCCCTCTCGTGTTCCACGTGAGGAAACCTGCGGAGGGCGTGGTGATGAGCCTAAGGTCACACGGCGGGTCAGGGGCAGAACCTGGATTGAAGCCCAGCGCGCCTTTCTCGGCCCTGGGCTCGCTCTCAACCGGAGAACCAGCCCAAGGACACGCTACTATTGGCACCGGGAGGCGGTGCCAAGGCACCAGCGAAGCTAGGCCCGGAGTGGGGGCGGGGGCGGGGGTGCGTGCGCACGTGCGCAATGCGAAGTCTAGCGCTCTCCTTCACGCACGCGCATTCCCTGACTTCCGCATCTCGTCCCGTCAGTTCCGAGCTCCTACCTAGGGTTGCCCAAGTAATCGCCTGTCTGGGTTTTTCTTTAATGTGTCCCTTGAGGCCACAGCGAGGCGCACAGAATACGTAAAAATATTTCTCATGCTCTGTTCTCATCTCTCCGGGTCCTCTTTCTCTGAGGCGACTTAGTTAAAAGTGCCCTGGCGAAGGAACCCTAGAGGTGAGGCGCGCTACTGACATCCTACTTCGGAAAGAGGAGGAGGGGTCCTGGGGTTGGGGTCCTTCCGGAGGGTGACATTCATCCTAGAGCCTGTGGCCCGGACCCAGTGAGGACGGTCTTGACCAGCTGTGAGGTCGTCCGCTCGCCCCCGCTATGGCCCAGCTGGTTCGCAATGCCATCGAGAAGGCTCCGGCCCTGCTAAACGGTGAGCGGAATCGACGTTTCCTGCCCAGACTGGGCTGGGGAGCGCCCGGGGGGTGGGGGGGGAGGTGAGGGAGAGAAGAGGGCCTCCGGCTGCCCCGCGGCCTGTCCCGCCATGTCTGGCCGGACGTGTCGCCTTCTCTCCCTGGGACTGTCTGGTTGAGGGCTCCATTTCTACCCTGGGCCGAGAGTACATGAGCAGCCCCTTTTCAACGCCGAGCATGCCTTGGGAAGGGGCCGAACACGAAACTCTCGTGAGGTCCTCCCTGAGTACCCCCTTTACTTGCCAGTGCTTTTGGGGCCGGGGCCATGGAGGGGACTTTTCTCAACCCCTTTGGTTTGGACGCATCTTGGAGGAAAGGGGAAACTGGCTGCAGAAAGGCGGGGATCCTCGGGAACTTGGTCGACCCCCACCCCGAGAGCTCAGCGGTCCACGAAGTGCTTTGAAACCCACAGAATCCACGTTCCGTCTCCACCCTCCCTGCCAGGCGGCCCCGTAAGCCATTCAGTGCACTTCAATCTGGGCCTGGGCTCTGTTTGTGTGGTTGTAAACCCCAGGCATCCCAAGAACCAGAGAAAGATTGAGTTTGGTGAAAACGAGCTTGAGAGCAGGGATAGCGAGGTGTAGGGGAAAAAGCAATGATCTCAGAGGCCGGAAAGCCCTGGTCCGGAATACCGGCTCTAACATTAGTTTTGTGTCTTTGGGCAGCTTACTTACCCTCTTTAAGTCTCCGTTTAGGCGGAGACTTTGCCATGCATTTCTTAGGTTTGTTGTGACTAAAGTGATTTGTTAAACCTCAAGGCACTATATAAGTGGGAATAGATACCATCCAGACTAGCTAAGTGATAGCATGTTCTGCTGGAGTTGAATCACAGACCTGACACCCGTCTGATAACTTTAAATTATGGCGTG